TCACACAGACAGTCTCACACAGACAGTCTCACACAGTCACACACTCACACAGACAGTCACACACAGACAGTCACACACAGACAGTCACACACTCACACAGACAGTCACACTCACACACAGACAGTCACACTCACACACAGAGAGTCACACAGACAGTCTCACACAGACAGTCACACACAGACAGTCACACACAGACAGTCACACAGACAGTCACACACAGACAGTCACACACTCACACAGACAGTCACACTCACACACAGTCACACAGACAGTCTCACACAGACAGTCACACAGACAGTCTCACACAGACAGTCACACACACAGTCACACAGACAGTCACACACAGACAGTCACACACAGACAGTCACACTACACACAGACAGTCACACAGGAGTCTCACACAGACAGTCACACAGATAGTGTCTCACACAGACAGTCTCACACAGACAGTCTCACACACTCTCACACAGATAGTCACACAGACAGTCACACAGACAGTCTCACACAGACACACTCACACAGACAGACACACAGACAGTCACACACTCACACAGACAGTCACACACAGACAGTCACACAGACAGTCACACAGACAGTCACACTCACACACAGACAGTCACACAGACAGTCACACTCACACACAGACAGTCACACAGACAGTCACACACAGACAGTCACACACACAGTCTCACACAGACAGTCACACACAGACAGTCTCACACAGTCTCACACAGACAGTCTCACACAGACAGTCTCACACAGACAGTCACACACACACAGACAGTCACACAGAGTCTCACACAGACACACTCACACAGACAGTCACACACAGACAGTCACACACAGAGTCTCACACAGACAGTCTCACACAGTCACACACAGACAGTCACACACTCACACAGACAGTCACACTCACACACAGACAGTCACACAGACAGTCTCACACAGACAGTCTCACACACAGTCTCACACAGACAGTCACAAACTCACACAGTCACACTCACACACAGAGAGTCACACAGACAGTCTCACACAGACAGTCTCACACAGACAGTCACACACAGACAGTCACACACAGAAAGTCACACACAGACAGTCA